GGTATACAGGCATATATGTTCATATATTTGATTTGTGTATCTCATTTTCTATATGAGTTTTTATGTAAAAACATTTTTTATCTATTTTTATGTAGCATATTGTTCTCTTGGCAGAACCAGCGTCTGTATCTGTGATTGAGTGTCACTTGCATATGATAGATTGCTTCAGTTGTAACTATGCGATGGACATAACTAAATCGTCGTTCTTCCACTGTTTGGCAGTTTTAAAGGTACATGTATGCTTGTTGCTTCATATCGTAGCTGTCCAGGTATCTGTAGTATGTTTTTCAATGAATAACACTGGTAGAGCGATGTACGCTAACAGCCGATTTATTACTTTATCTTAGTGCGATTTGGGACACGTGACATGGGTAGCGTATGCTGCATCGGCCGAAGCTGGCCAAGTGGGAGGTGAAAGCGCAAACTTTAATAGCGGTAAGTGAATTTTGACTCTCGGGGTTTTTTCTTAAAATGTTCGGCGTTCTGGAATTGTGCCGAATTGTTCAGTATGTTTTTTTGGTTTTTGTTTTGTAGTATTTATACACATTTATCTCCCTGCCATTATGACGAATGTCTTTGTAGATATCTTTCTCGTGTAGTGCTTGGATACGTCCAACTCCCTGTATTTTTGTCGTATGTTTTAATGAATTTATAGTTTGGTTAATCTGCATTTACTCAGCTTACGAGATGTAGAGCCCCAATGTGTACCATAAGAGCCGTGCTATAACCGCGAACGAGCTAGAAGAAGAATATTCAATCTATGATCAATGCTTGACTCCATACAGTGTTCGATGATGTCGTACTGCGCAACTACTTCTCTCTCCTGGATGCTGGTATCCCCTGTGTTTGGGGGTTCACGACGCACTCGCAACGGAGCTTAACCTCTGCGCGGGCAAACACGCCCTCTAGCCGACACAAGCCACAAAGCACGTCGAGCAATAACAACGATGAAGGGATAGTTGGCGGTCATCCAACGGATCAATCAAAGGCTGAGAGTGTTAGAGAATCTGGCCAGGGCGTGGAGCCGAATACGGAAGGCGCAAGTGACAGACACAAAGGGTCTGAGCATCAGCGGGCTGTGAAGGTGCTGTGGGTGTTTAAAATCAGGGGAACGGGCGCGGAAGACCCCGAGACTCTATGTGATAACACCAGCGATCTGTGCAGGAAAGGTTCGGGACGGGTCTCAGCGAGCACACTACGCCGACTGGAGTTGTTGTTCCGGGCACTACACAATCTGCACGAGCGTGTCTTGTTCCGCCAGGGCTTTATGCGACTCGGTAAATGGTTCTTGTTTAGAGACCACGGAGGGGTGCCACTCACGGGTAACAATGCCGTGTCCCTCACCTTTTGTCTGTACGGCTCGACCGTGTGCATGTACGTGAAGGTGGAGCGGAGACTTCTTCGGCCGATAGGTAATACAGACCTGGACCAGGCGTTGCAGGCGAGTACACGCGATGCTCCATGCGAGTTACCGTCAGTGCTATTGTGTCCATATGCATTGCCGGCGAAATTGATGCACAGCCCTCCAGTGTCAACGAGTGAGCGCGAGATGCTTGCTAAGGCGTGGAGTGTGTTCTTCCCGTCACTATTTGATGTGGACACAGGAGGCATGCTTGATTGTGAGAAGATGCCTTCCTTTGTCACTGTTACTATGGAAGATAGTACAATGGGCATGCTGTATCCGACTGTGTGCGTGTACAGAGCGATACATATGCGGTCCTCGACTGAAGACAAAAAGCTGCTTGCAAATGTCCTTATAGGCGCCACCTGGCGTGAACGGCTGGTGGACACTATGCGACTCACGGACAATAGCGCAGCACTATTGTCTGTTCCCAATGGAACGGTCAACACGGTTGCCACAGATAGTATGAACGATGAAAGGCAAGTGTCTATCAATTCGGCGGGAGAGGGGTACGATGGGTGTGAGCTGTGGTCAGTTGAAGCGAGGAACAGCATTGCAGATGGTGCCATGACGAAGCCTTCCGCAACGCGTGTGCCCATGACCACCATCTCCTCGCTCGCCACGGCGGCATGCACTGAGCAGGAAGCAGCAACAGGTGAGCATTCTGATACGGGCCTAGTTGCCACCAAAGTCGATACGGAGGAGTGGGATGATGTGACTATCCTGTCGTCGGTCAACACGGACACGTCTCGGGCAAGTAGTGCAGGCGGCGGCGCGAGTGCCAAAAAACGAGTGTTGGATGCTGATGAGCTTGTAGAGGAGGTATTGGGCAGCAGCGCAGACCTGCCCCAAGCCAAGAAAGTGAAGATGGAAGGTAAAAATTCAAGCCTAGCCACAAGCACCGGTGTCAAAGGCGGTGTTTCCGTGGACTCTAAATCCGGAATCGTGTCCACGCAGCCATATGCATCGCAATCACTGCTTCACGCGAATACAGGTAGCCTCGTTAATGTGGCGAGTCCGTTAGGTGCAATCCGCATGCCAGGTGTAGGGAGAGGGGCTCAGGTCAAAATAGATCCTGTATTTGCCCCTCCAGTAGCCATCAAAGGGGAAGCGGAAGAAGAGATCGTTCTTGATTCAGGTAGTAGGACTACAAGCACAGGAACCCTCGCGGTGGGGACCGCTACGAACACTGCGGCAAAGACGTCCGCGGCTGCTAAGGCCGGTGGACCCCGCAAAAAGGGCCAGCTGTCGAAGAAAAGCAGTCTGGCGCGAAAGAGTTCGACAGGCAGTGTTATGGATCTCAGTGAGGTGACGGAGGACGACTTCGATTTCTTCACCGAGCCCACGCCCAAGGTACGGAAGAGCACAGGCCCAGGAACTAAAGCGGACGCGCCAGGGGAGAAGGGAGCGGGAAGCACTAAGACCACCGCGGCGGCTAAAGGTAGCGGGCCAGCGGGGAGTGAAGCTAAAGTCACGACTAAAAGAACTAAGAGTTTGAAAAAGTTGCCATCGACTTCAAGCAACCCCGATGTCGCTCCTAGCACTAGTGTTGCAACTACAGCGACCGCCGATCGTATCTTTCCTTTTTTTAGTAAGCTGCTGGACCGTGGGAAATCGGGTGTTATTGGGAATCCAACCCGGAATGTGGCGTATCGAGCGCCTCCTTTGTTGAGCACCGGAAAGGCAGCGTTGGCAACTGTACCTGTGAAGAAAAGTTCGGAAAAAGAGGGCATCAACCTCACGGTGCAGATGAATAAGAGCGTTACGAGTATGTTGATCAAGCACAGCTCGAGGCTCAGGAATAGGAATAAGAAATACTATTCGGGCCAGGGCGTGGCTTGTACCGGTGTAGTGAGTAAATATGCTTGTTCAGGTGCGATTGATCCTCCGAGTACTATCAATCTAGCGTATGGAGTTGTGCAGGGGTTGACACCTGTAGTACAAAGTCAGCTGAGGCACCGCCCTCGTTACATTAAGGAGCCGTTGCCAAAGTTAAGCACATTTACAACACGAGGATACTGTCCGCTGAAGATGAAGTGCACTGTGCCCGCTATCCTACGACAAGACCCGCGACGGGAGAGTATAGCGTGGCTAAAGAGTACTAAACCCCGCCCATATACATTTAAAGATGGCCTTAAGAGACACGCATCAAGCTCAAGCTCGTCTAGCGAATCGTCTAGCGACAGCGAGGGGGACCTCACTTCTACGAAAGGGGGGCCACTGAGCCAGCCCATAACTTTTAAACGGGACGCAAGCAATATTAGTATCACAAACACATCGGGAACGACCAGGGCGGCTAGCGTGGCAACATCTCCGGCCAAAAACGGGGGCAAGACGGCAACAGAAGACGTTGGCGGTAGTTGTGACGCGCAGTTGGTGACCGTGGATAGTGTATTGGCGAATCTGCTGATATCTGCGACATCGCTGAACAATTGCGGCGTGGAGTGTTCATCAGCTGGCTTCGGGGGTCCATCGCCTCTGTTCGATTTAGAGGCTGACGACGCTGCAGCGGAGGGTAGCGACGGGTATGACAAGAGTGTTTCTGTAGACTGCTCGTACGCTGAAATGATCGGGTTTGTGTACCCCTGTTTCCTTGCAGAAGAAGTCCTCCGTTTTTCCCTTACTCCCCGAGTCTTTTGCGTATGACCTTCCCAGTTCGTGTGCGTTGTGCAATCGGATTTTTTGGCTACCATCGCCTAGTTCTTATATTTATGGACTATTCTTGTCAACTTGGAATGCTGTTTTTAAAAGCAGATGCTTATTTTTCTTTACGTCTTTTCCTGTATATAACACTCAGGGCACATAGTGGCGGGGTAGAACGCAAAGGGTCTATACTCACATACAAGCGCACTCGCATACCTGAGGTCGAGTCTAAATTTATCAAGGCACTGCTCTCTGTGGATTTGGATATCAATCCCAATCATGAAAATGAGTGTGCGTACGACACTAAACACAGCAACACTCTAACAAGCATTGATAGTAGCAGTCGGTCAACCCCCGTCACGCCTCAGCGTAGGACCGACCCAGCACACGGTAGCAGCAAACACGACTCAGCGCGGAAGCGTTCGCGTATATCTAGAACCCCCACGAAAAGTGTGCTCGCAACAGAACCCTCATTTCTCGAGAATGTGCTACAAAGCGGCGAAGCCTGCGCGCCTGACTGTGAGAAGCATGCGAGTGAGTGCGCCGCGTGTATGGTGTGCATGCGGTTGCAGGGCTTGGAGGTCATAGCCCTGGAGGCCTTCTACAACTGGGGCGAAGTGGAGACCGATGCCATTGCGTTCCACTTGGCAGACCGGTACACGGAACTGCCCATTGAAAGCTTTGCTCGCATGTACCCCAACCAGTACACCACGCCCAGCGCCTGCTCAGAAGCCAACATGGACAACCCTCCCGACAGCGGGTTCAGCGACAGTCCCAGTGACGATGTCGTAGTTGTTGACAGCAGGCTAGGTGCATCGGACAGGCGGCGAAGCAGCAGCTCAACCCCGCCCGACGAGAATATGCATCAGAATTGCTTTTGGCAGGTAGGTTTGTCGAGTTTTCACAGTTTTCACAATACCTTTGGTTGTTGAACACGCTCTTGTTTGCAGTCGAAGTCTATCCATGACCTACCGTGAATGAGATGACCAGGTCTCGCCACATCGCTGCTTGTTTGTGACTTCCTTTCTCATCCGCAAGCACCGCTGTCTTCAATACTGCACAGAAACTCTGGCGGCGTTCTCTAGCTGCCACTACTGGGTGCCTACCCAGTGTGCTGTTCCAACTACATTCCGCTCCGAAGAGCGTGACCGTGGCACCCATACCCGAAAGCCATTCAAACGGATTGGCCACAAACACTGCGGCTCATTTGCTGCCGATCTCAGCGGGTGTAAATCTGACTAAGAATATCTCACGCGTGCTATCTGATACACAAATCAATGGTGTCGATCCCAAGACTGTTACCGTTAGTAATGGTACTGATATCGCGGCTGCAACGACACAGACACAATCATCGTCACAAACCGAGGGCGCGCTGACGTCTTTATCGTGGACTAAAGAATATACAAGCTTTGACGCCATACAGTGCAGTGCTAGCAATGCCGCTGTAAGTAGTGCGCTGTGCACTCGGAATAAGGCGCGTCTGTCGGGAGCCTTGAGCTTGCTCCCAGGGGTGGTTTCTGAGATAATCATGTCTATCAGAGCGTCTCTGCAATTGACCGTCAGCGCTGGTGGCGAGTCCTTCGAACCCAGCAATAGGACAGGGTCGCTCATGGCAACATCTAGTGGGACAATGCAGGAAGATGATATCACCAGCTCTGCAGTCTCGCGCAGGGGAGGTGACGCGGGTGGTACTGCCAACTCCGCGGAGCTTGGAGAATCGAATGTTGTTTCGCCTGCGCAGAATTCAGACACTTCCACACGAATGAGCATACCTTTCACGGTCAGCGGACCAATGTCCATACGAGGTCTGAGTGCCTTGGAGGCTCCCGCAGAAAATACTACCAGCATAGCCGTGGCACCGCGTCTCACCCGTGTGTGGCGAGACGATGTGATGCCCCCTAGTGCACATAACGCCCACACATACTCAGATCCCCACAAGAACAGCACCAATGAGGATTCGTCACCAAGCGAGTATACGCGAACATTGCGAGTGCCCGATGTGGTGTGTAGGTTGGACGATGACGTTATATCCACCTCACCGATGGCGCTGCAGCACTGGGACAGGCTGTCGTTGGAGCCACTCAACTCACAGAAAACTATACGGTACATCGCGCTGTGTCCTGACAACCCATACCTCATGACTCGGTGTAGCGCGTTTTTGCAGAATGTTTCGGCCTCGTTTCGTATGTTACGGCTAGGCTCGCACGTTCCGTTTGCGGTCAATCAGCAAGAGGTATCGACTTTATTTGATAACTGTATATATAAGGTGGGGATGGCGAGCGGTCCGGATACCAAGGAGGATCCATTGGCACCAGCGAGTGTGAGAGCTAGTGATGGAATGTGCGCCTATTTCAACGCCTGGTATGTTGTCTAATTTAATAGCCCATAGCAGATACCTCTGCAGCTAATATATTTGCGTTTCTTCGTGTTCAAGTATTTTCCCAAACCTTCCACGTATTCAAAATTTAGCAGAAGCTCTGCACGGCCGGCTGTCAGTGGACTTTATTGCGATACTTATTTCAAGTTTATCACTCTACCTATAATGCTGAATTGTTGTCACAAAGTTCTGATTTTTCATACTTGCCTTCTGCAGCACTTTTCTGGCGGCCATGTTGAGCGTATTGGTAGTTCCCAAGTCCTACGATGATCCCTGTCAATTCTATGACAACAAATCGCATTATGTTGTCTACTTCGTCAACACGTTCGCGCAAGACACTGCGTGTGCGGATATCAGCGCATGTTTCACACATCTACTGGGACACTTGCCTAGAACGGCTCGCCACTTGGTGACGATGCAGGTATTTATCGAAGCACAGACGATTGATTGACTCATGCTCGGAATTAACCGTCTTCTAGATATATACAAGTGTGTGTGTTCTGTTGTGCTCATTGATATCTCATCTTGGCTTTTCAGGTTATTCAAGTTGAAGATTTGGTGACGCCGGGATCGGGTGGTTACGCTGGACTGAGTAACGCTATCGGCCTCTCGAAACGTCATGCCTTAAACGTATATAATAAGTGCAGGTCGATGATGTACGCGCGGAAACCCATATTCGACAATGACAACAACCCTATGATAATTGTAAGTAGCAATTGAATTTTTGGTCTTGCACTTCAGGTCATTTTTAAAATATTTTCTGCCCTTTTAGCGAGCTGACTACTTTGTTTCATTGTGGACAGATTGGGAAACAATTCGGGTTATTGGAGGATGCGGGGTATAATAGGAACCTACATTCCACGCACACATAGACAATGAACTGGTCTCATGTAGATTTCAGGCGTCAAATAGCAGAAGAATACCGCTTGCTTCGAATGTCCGCTTTGCATGTCAAGATATGGCGCAATCGTTATACCAAGTACTCACTTCCATTGTTACATTTTTTGTTTATTTTGTCGTTGTCATTTTACTCATTTATTCTGCTTCCTTCGACTCCGCGCAGGACCCGTACTACCTCTACACACCCGCGTATAGGTTAGACGACACCCCTCAAAGGGTCAAATTTAGTGCTGACAATGAGATGCTAGCTGCTGAGGTAACTGTATCCGCGCACTATGCTTTAGTCACCTGTATGCTTGTTGATACTATTGAGTGTCTTTTATGCCGTAGCAATACTCGTTATCAGGTTGTGAGTTGGATACTGATCGTGGGTCCCAATAGGCAGGCCCATGAATGAGTCCGCCTGATGATACCTGCTCCTTGTAATTGACCGAGTCGCTATATTGCACATTTTCGGGTTTCAGGTTAGCCTGTTGTATCTTTTACTAGCCTGGTACCTTTCTTTTCTGTGCAATGGTTCTAATCATTGCAATCCTCCTTTCGGAATACCGCCTGTCGCTTATCGCTCCTTGCAGGAGATCGTGTCTCGAATGTTGCATTGTGCGTATGCTGTGAGTGGGCCGTGGCTAGTAAGTGTCTGGACCGATTCGGTAGGGGAACTGTTGGAGATGAAGACATTCTACCTCGGATCAGATGCGCATGCGAACACGCACTCGGCCACAAGTGCCAACACCAACACCAACACAGATACAAGCGCAAACTCGGGAGTTAATTCAGACTCAGGGGCGGGCAACCCCAGCGGAGACATTCCCAGTAGTGATGAGGCAAAGGGGCAAACGATAGCCATGCTACTAGCACACTATGCGATAGGACTCGTGCGCAGGACCTCGATGCCTTGGAGGATAATCATTGGCAAACTGGGATTGCTCTCAACCGGAGAGTCCGCAAGTATGTTTATAGTCGTTGTTCATCACCTGGTCGTTTACACTGGTGGTGATTTGCATGCAATACTGTGCTACCGCCAACTCTTTGTGTTTCGTGAATCTGCTTGTTTGTAGTGCTAATTGATCCGTTCGCTTCAGTCTGACCTTGGCTGGGTCATCACGAGTACTGTGTTACGTTATATGTATCAGGATACGGGCAATCAGATATGTGCCTACTGCTTTCTACATCACACATGCAATCAATATATTAGATGTCTTATATGCTTTACTATATGTCCAAACTCTATCATCGTGCACTCCAAAAAAAATCCTACTGTTGACTCTGTCCTTACTAGGCAGACTTGTTCATTGGGTTTGACCCGATTCACTGAAATCTTCTATCTCTACTACCTCTCTTACTAGTTTGGAAGGATGTGTGCACAGCCGCGGGGCTGCGTGCCATCAACCAGTCCATGATGGATGGCTGCAACGTTTGCTCAGTCACTGGTTTGGCCCTGCAGAGGCCTACCATAGTGTCGTGCTCTGTTGTTTCTCTCAGTCCAGAAGCGAATCTGCAGATTTTTGGTGCAGGTAAGGATCATCGACTTTACTCAATTGTATACCTGATCTCTCTCAGTCGAGTGCTTCCGACGCAGGAATTGACTAGTGATGTGTTTCATCTGATATTAGCGCTTTGATATCGTGCCTCACTGAATGTGGAATGGCTACGGCCTCCAAATATCAGTTGTAGTCATTTTCTAAAACACGTTCTGCCAATTTGAGCAGCTCATTCTCAAGGTGATCCTAGCGGTGCTGCGGACTTAAGCACCGGCACTGACGAACTACGGGAGAAGAAGGGATTCCCTAAAATGCCTCACAAAAAACGAAGGCCCACTACGCCGACCGGTGCCACAGGTCCGGCCCACGGCAGCGAGGTACGAAGAGTTCTATCGCACCTTCTTTACATCTAATGCACGTGGAAATGTTTGTAAACGACCGTATGTATAGTTACGACATGCGGTGCGTGGAGAGTTTATGGGTTCGGTTCGTGATGCTACATCCGACGTTTGTGCTGTGGATATAGTGTAGTATGCATGCATATTAAGTTTCTGCACAAATGCGTCGTTCATTCGTCTTGTCAGACAATAAATAGCTGGTCGTTTGAACTCCAGCCGCGCCTTTTTGACAACCTCTCGAGACTATCCGTATGCTGCAGTACATCCGCAGTACGCCTTATGTGGCCTCATTCTCGTCATATAACTCAATCGCAGGGCGCTGATCGACCGTCCACCACCTATCTCTCACGCACACACACGCTCTCGTTCGACCGGCCCATACTCTCCAATGAGCTGGCGGGGGACTTTGCTCAGCCTCTATCGACATCGTTCCTGTGCACCGTATTTGCGAATGCGGGCGGCAGTGCTCGTGCGAAGGGTTTGGCGGCCTCGCCTGCCTTTGCAGCGTATGATGTGAACACTGAGTTGCCCTTTTCGCTCAAGGTCAGTCTTGTGAGGAATTATGTTTATGTTTGCGACGTGCGTCTATTTGTGCGATATCGCTTCTGTCCTGCTGAGTTCTGATTTTCTTGATTTCGAATGCGTTTGAGTTCTAGGTTTAGCCAGTCCATAACACAGCTCCGATGTTAGATATTAACGTCAATTTAATATGCGACAAATTCTCGAATGCAGCTGGGCTTGGTTGTACACGGATCAATTCTCTCGCATGGTCGCTCCTCGGATCCAACCTATCGGATGCTGAAAGAAGTCTTGAGTGAAGAGACAGAAGCCATGGATGCGGATCTCAATCACCCAATGTATGTGTTGCTCACGGCTAGAACCAGCATAGTTGATATAAAGCTGGGCACCTCAATACATCTATTTTCTATGAACCTGTGACGATGATTTACGTTAAGTCAGTTGCACGTTTTTGTAACCGTGTAAATATGTAGCTGTATAATTGTATCCGTCTGAACATCTAGACACAAACTCGGAGATAATATTTTTCTGGTGTACGTGAGCGCGTGTGCCTGTGCACTTCCATGTATATCACGAAGTCGACAAATGTACGCATGACAGTACCAATGTGTTAGCGTATGTATGAATGTCTCTGACCTTCTCTCTATTTTGTATGAGTTTTATACGGCTGTTTGTAGGCGTCTTTCATTCGTATACGCAGGCATGCATTCGTCGACATGGGTTGATACGTTCATGCACGCGTGTCATTCCCAGCCAAAGGAATTGTTAATAGCGCCTGGGTATGTAGTTGTTGCACCTACGTATGCATGACCATCGGCAATTCATTCGATCTGACATTGCGCCCATCTATACGACCCGCGTCTCTTGACGCTGCTGCTGGGTATTGGATTTGACAATACCCTTCTGTTCAGTTTTTCCTCATATATCGCTGGTTTCAATACATCAACTCAACAACCCCCACCACTCTCTCGCACTTTTCGCAGATTAAAAGATGGCAAGTCTACGACTATCGCCTTGATGGACTGCATAGGGAACCAGTACCACAATCTATCATGGCTCACGGCTACACCATTCTCCCCTGAGAGGTACTGTACATTGCCATACTGTCACGAACACTCATACACAATAGATCTTCATTCAAGGTCAACTTTATGTGTGAAATGAATTGCTTATCCCCAAGCTTTCGTAGTTGGCTGGTCGCTCACCGTTGCTATCTATGGATTAGTGGGCCTTCCACGGGCACTTGAAGTAAAACGCTGCTTACTACATACTGCCACGTGAACAGCCGAAATCCCCATCTTCCAGTATACATAGTTTACTTACCCTGAGAAATACTGTGTGTAGAAACTCGCTCGACGTTTCTTGTTTTAAGTTACATTTGGGTGTATTATGATATATGCGTGCATTTCCGAAATCTAAACTTCTTCTACTTCTACCTACTAAACTGGGCTAAATAATAAACCATGTTTACGATATTATTTTCTTTCCATTACTGTACAGGACCTGCTTGCTGCCTCAACACTTCGCTGTGCTCACTCGTCTAATCGGACTGGTGTGCTCTGATAGTATCTCCTGTGCTGAGGTAGACTCGGCACGCGCCACGTGACTCGACCCTTGGGCCTTCCCGGTCGTTAGCAATAATAATTATAACTTTAAGATGCCGCTCAGGCCTGAAGGATTCGGTCACGCATTAGCATAAACCCTGGAATGATAGGCCCGATATATCCATTTCTTAAGAGATACCAATGTTTTAGAGCATACCTTCTGTCTCTGTCGAAAGTCTTGGCCAACACATACTGCACTGGCTGGCCAATAAGTACACGTGTATTTGGCGCGCCGAAAGGTACAGTATGCGGGTGTTGGCTCCTGTACACGCATTTCGTCCTGCTTTAACGACTAGCGTCCAATGCACAGCTTTACGCTAAAGTTGTGCAAAGCTTTTGGGAGGTTCAACATCATTAAAACTCTAGATAGAAGTATAGAAGTAGGAATACTCATCGCGCACAGTTATAACATACACGTAGCCAATTAAACTGATGACGTCTCTTGGTGAACCACAGAGTTTTCTTTCCAGGGTCTGTCGGCAATGGGTCGATTTTAATAAAGATTGGCTCAGCATCGAAGTTTCGCATATACATACTACAATTGATCCGACCGATCGTACCTATGATCGAACAACGGTCCCAAAATAGTTGAGCTATCTGGGAATTCGCTTAGCATGCATGAATATACTTGCATGCTCCTATGTTTGACGGTTGCATAGGTGATAATTTGATTTGGGCTGTTGTCCCGAGTAGTTGTCATTAGTCCTACCCTGCCGCAAAAAGCTGAAACTGCCAGAAGACTAGGAGTGTTGGACAGCACAGTACATGCAGTATATATATATAAATATATATCATGCTACAGATATCCTAATATGTATACTTTCCAAATAGTCTTGTCTCATTGTACCAGCTATCGTTGCAACGCATATTATCAAGCCTTCTTGTTTCACTGTATAAACTGTTTATAACCGGTCCATGTACGGTTTGAATACGGCTGAAAACACAGTTCATTAAAGCTTCGCTGTAGGGGCAAATACATTGTGTGTACGAGATCAATCCAATAGCTCTTGTAAAAGATCTCGTTTGTGCTACCCCGTTATCCAGAGACCCCCAAAAAAAATTACTTCAACTAAAGTAGGCAAAAGCGACAACCCATCCTCATAAACCTGTTACCTAGAGACCTAAGAACAGTTCTATTGAGAGTTGTCTGAATTCGAGCGTCTCGATGATCGATGAAGTCACATGAACACATGGCTTTAATATTTGAGATAAATAGACATCGGCTATCCTCTGGAATATTTGTTATTTATTTTTAAATATTCATGACCCTCTCAGGCCTCAGCGGGCTCACGCCTGAAGCCTCTCTCTCTCTTTCTCTCCCTACATATATCTCTCTCTCTCCCTCTCTCTCTCTCTGAAAGTAGGAGAGCCATAAGAAAAAAGATATATATACTTTTTTTTTAAACAATATTTGTACTGTAGGTTCGTCTTTCGAAGTAGGCGGTTATTTTGGTTTTTATGGGGGAGGGGGGCGGGGTTAACAAAAACCAAAAACAATCAATAAAACCATTTTTAACTGTTTTAACTGGGCGGAGTTCGGTCCGGTCGGTTCCGAACAGTGTGCTATTTTAGCTAGCTTGCGAGAAGGAACATGTGTCATGCCAAAGGGGTGACAATGGGTGACATATGTCAGGTCGGATAATATTATTTATTTCAAAATGATAAGTTACAATGTATGTATGTTACAATGTATGAACATATGGTATGGCGCTCATAGCCGTTGTAGTGGTTCGGGAAAGATCGATGGGAAGAAGTGGTCAGTAAATTTCCATTTGAAGCTTGGGCCAAGTGAGTCGACGATATTATCGAATGTGCCATGTATTCGCTTGCTGACCTACTAATAGCGTACCCACCTCTGTGGTGTAAACTTCGA